CCCCCCCACTCTTTTCCTCAGCCCGAGAGAGAAAGAGAGAGTCAGAGGGACAGATAGACAACATCACATTTACTCTTCTTAAGGCATTAACTTCTTCTTTGCTTCTTATTTGCTTCTAGTCTGTCAAAACTTTCAAGGAATGTTATGCAAAGGCCAGTCAACCAAACCAGTATCCGTAGATAAAAAGTCATTTCATGGCAGCCTGGAGTGGTCTTGATAAACTGACTGCCTTATACTTCTTCTGCTTTCCGTTATTCACCTCTTCATCACCTCTTCGTCTTATTTGTTTACTCTTCTTTTTTTAAACTTAGTAATATGAAATGAAAATGAAATCTCTCTCGCTTACTCACTCAGTCCATATCCTAATTTTTCCCAACACCCATGATTTCAAAGGCAGGTACGATCAAGCACTTTGTCGTCTTGGAAAATGATAAACGATATTGGAGAGCCGCTGTTCACGTTGAGCATGTTTAAGATACTTCTGTGGTTGAAAATCGCAGCAAAATAGACCGTTTAGTCGGCAATCTGGCAAATTAGAAAGTTAAAAAAAGATCCCTAACTTAAGAAATATCCTTGCCACATCTGTAAAATAGTCAAACATTCATACACCATTCCTGATTCAATACCATGGATCAGCATTGGACTAGGCTATTTGAGTAACAGGCTTTGTGGCATATCAAGGAAGTCAAGATCTGAAAGAAGGGAACTAATACTCTGGTAAACTACATCATCTATCTCTACCATCCAGTCAAAATTGTACGGCACATATTGCTTTAAACCTGCCTGTCAAGACGTAAAAGGCCATACGCACTTTTCATTGTGGATGTTGATTTCATTTGTGGTAAAGGTCTTTCGGGTCCTGACGATTACAATCGTTGTGATTCATAGACTTCGTATAGCTCTTCGTAGTTCGTCTCTCTCTCTCTCTCTCTCTCTCTCTCTCTCTCTCTCTCTCTCTCTCTCTCTCTCCTTCTCTCCCTCTCTCTATCTCTCTCTCTCTCTCTCTCTCTCTCTCTCCTTCTCTCTCTCTCTCTCTCTCTCTCTCTCTCTCTCTCTCTTTTTAAAAACATACTATGTAATTGATGTACATAACGTTCCTTCACTGGCTTTGTGTACACTGATTCCACTCACATGGCAACATATTATATTACCTTTTTGGTTGTGTCAGATGTATAATTGCAAATGGCTGTAAGGTTACACGAATCAACTGAGGTAAAGATAGGGTAAAAGGGCCGAACCAGCCGACGGTATTCAATTATTAGTGCACCGACTATCGTGGATATTCTATTGCTTCAGTTAAATAGAAAGAGCAATAGTTTTGAGTGAAAGTAAATCTCACCTTATTTTCTCTGAACGTTCACGCGATAGCCTAAAAATGACCTCTAAAGGAGATAAGAATAGTACATATTTGTGTAATAACGCAGGGGAATCAGGCCATCGTCAATATAGAATTCTTGTTTTAATCGTATAGCGTGTTCATTTGCCTTGTGTTAATGAGAAAAAAAACATGTCAGTAATATCTTCAATAGAAATTCTGATATTTTTGTATGAAGGAGATCGGGGGTCGTCTGGCGTCAGAGTAAAACTAACGAGAAAAGTATGGCCTCCATACGTTTGTGACTTTCAAAGCTGTAGTATCCTTGAAAACTGCACGTTTACATTTTGTTTCTTCATTGGTCAACGTTTATTTATGAAAAATCCATTTAGAGATGCTTATTTATAAAAAGGGCTTAGCCCCAAATACACCCCGCAAAAAAAATAAATAAAAAAATAACCCTACAAAAACAAAACAACAACAAAGTAAAAAACAATTAACATTCTCAAACGGGTGGAAAGATGTCCATTTTCTAAACCTCTTTACTTTGACGAACGCCTGAATTCACCATGATTCCACACATTGGAATTTGTGGGACTGGAACAGTTATGCTATATTTGGCGATGCAATTTTTTGGTAATGGAAGCAAAGCTAACCAAATGACCTTGGCTCGTAAACTTTGGGCTGTCTTAAATGTGTATTCATATTGCAGTAACTTGTTTACCAGCACCTTGGGAGGAGGTTTACATACACGGATTGGGGTTACCGAGTTTGCTTGACTGTTTTTGCTATTACTATTATTGCCTAAGTAAAAAGCAGCTCATTTCGTTCCCGTGTGAAATCTGCTGCCCTCCTCCCCCTATTCACTTCCATCTCTTCCAAAAAATGTCCATCCTGCTTCGTCTAATTTCCTTTTGAGACCCCATACTTTACGGTTTTTTAAAATCACAACCAAGAGTATAGAATGTAAAGCGCATAGAGCTGTCTATTATCTATCTATCTATCTATCTATCTATCTATCTATCTATCTATCTATCTATCTATCTGTCTATCTATCTGTCTATCTATCTATCTATCTATCTACCTATCTATCTACCTATCTATCTACATATCTACCTATCTATCTACCTATCTACCAATCTATTATTAGTATCATTATGATAATAATTATTATTATGATTATTATTTTTATTAGTAGTAGTAGTATTAATATTATTATTATTATTATTATTATTATCATTATTATTATTATTATTATCATCATTATTATTATTATCGTTATCATTATTATTATAAAAAAAATAAAAATAAGTAGTTAGCACTTTCGAAGTGGAATGCGGAGCTTGAGTTAGAACTATGGTGTATCTTGTTTTGTTACAGGAAAGTAAAGTAGTTAAGTCAGGTTTGGAAGAAAACAAAGAGTGTTCCTTAGTATGTTTCAGGCACCTAGGCATGTCAAACGGGATGCTCCACTTTCAAAGCTTTCTAAATTAGGTTATCAATTTTGTCGCTTGATAAAACCGTGAATTCTACACATTTCCGAACTGGATCGATAACAACAACAACAACAACACATTTTCGAAAATCGGTTTTTTTTTGTTTTAATTTTT